ATATATTTCCTGATTCATTTTCACCATACCAAGTGTCTGCTATCAATTATTATGACCGTATAAAGTACTATAACTATAAAGTATCTGCTATCAATAGTTAGTAATTACCAATTTATTTTCACTTTATAAAGTGTTCATGGTATATTATGCAAATACAACAATTCAAACCTTGTCCTCTCTAAATGTAAGCACATCAATAAATCAATTTTTATAAGTAATAACTAATGTTAATTAATGTTTAACTGCTTGTTTGAAATTTGATTTTTTTTAGGTAATATATCAAAATATAGGTACTCGAAAAAATATATCAAAACAATTTTTAAATAAATGTTTACGTTAAAAAGTAGTATGTAAGTACAAGAATAATTTTTTTTCCCAAAAATATGTTATATTATGACTTAAAATCAGGTGTAAAAAATGTTTTTGAAATTATGAATGTCCTTTGATAACTTCACTTAATCACCATGTGTAATTAATATATCATGTATGGTCGCCGGACACAATGTGTTATAATAATACATAAATTGTATCTAACAATATGTGTGTGTAGGGTTGTCAATAGATTGGTCTAAGAAGAACGGGACTGATGTGGATGTGTTAATATCAGCTGGGATATCGCCTAGGCCCCACAAGAAATTAACTTCACATCAGAATCTCATGCGATAGCGTTATCAAAAAGAATGGTACCAACATTTTTTGTTTACCGTGTGTGTCTTGCGTGTCTAATCTAATAGCATGCACTAAAAAGCGTTTACCGTCTTATGTATTTTTGTTTTGTTTTGTTTTGTTTTGTTTTGTTTGGTCATAGATTTGATTAGTCATTGCATGTAGGTACGAATGTACTATTTGTCTACTATTAATATTTTATAGTTCACTCTAATAAAAATGAACTATTTGATTGATTCTGCAGTGCCAATAGTTATATTCGATTGATACACTTCAATAGTTACTAGTTCAGCAAGTAGTAACAATGTATATTTTATTTTTAGATTTTAAGATTGTTGTGTGCATATAAGTATAATCATATAATGTGTTGTAATTGTTTCTAATAAGCATTTAACTGTTTATAAATGATTACGGATTACAGTGGTGTAAATAGGTTAGGGCTTACTCCCACCCTCTTAAATCCTAATGCTTTTCTTCTAAATTTATTTTACTTGGTTAGACATAGTATACTTAGAAAAAAATCAGAGGACCTGAGAATTAAAAATATTTAGTGTAATAAGTTAGTAATATTTAGGCTAGTGGGTAGGTACCTCCCTGGTTAATAGGTATCAAGTAGACCACTGTAATGAATGTGTTAAATTGTAATTCAATAATATAAAATCATTGTACTTAGGTATTCGAAAAATGTTTCTGAGCCCAAGGATAGATGTGTTTATAAATGGCTCAAAATGAAAAATTTATCTTGTGTGATAAAAATAGTCATATAAACATTTAGTGAAAAATTATAGTATCTACTTGTTTTCAAGTTAATATATAAAAAAACAAAATCAATTTTGGTGAAAGCCAGTCTTGCGCAAAAATTTTTTTTTCTTCATTTATTTTTGGTTTTTTCAAGTTTTCGGAACGTCGGTATGTTTGTAAGACACGTGGATTCAGTGTCCTTTTAATATCATTTGATTACAGTAATACTGTTAGGTTAGTTGAAACTCATAGTGCCAGATCCAAAGACAATATTATTATTATATTGTATTTTATAAAACATTTTAGATAAATTATATGTATAATATTTCACTGTGGCAAATAACATCACATAACACATAACATTTTTATTTTCAAGTCAAAACACTATAAAATTATACCAAACAAGTTGTTTAATGTTTTTACACTAATTAAAGAAAATAAATAATACTTTTTAGTGTTAAATACTTTTTTTCATGAGAGTTAAAAAATCAAATTGTGATTTAGTTTCATAACAGTGATGTTTCCATTAAACTATTTTAATTATTTAACTGTAATTCAAAAAATATTTTCTATAGAAACTTGAAAATTTCTCCATACTTAAATTATAGTATGACGAAAAGCTAAAAAATATAACACAAAGTTTCTCATAAGTTCTTGTTATAGCAATTGAAGTATAATAGTGAATCTTCTTGGTAAAAATTTGAAAATGCATAGGCTCAGTTTTTTTATAGTAGGTACCTGCCTACCATAAGAATTTGAAGTTACAATTTCAACGCAATTGAGTTCCCTCCTATTCAAACTAATAATAACTATTTTCTTCTGACGATTTCAGTTATTTTTATGAGATTTAAAGAATATAGGTAGGTATGCTTATGGAAATTCATAAATATTTAATTTAAGATGAAATGCGTATAGACAAATTCATAGAATTTGTTACCCAACACTGCTGAACTGCAGCTCGTTATTATACCAGGTACCTATTACACCTCGGGTGCCTACTGTGCTTGTCCGTCCGCAACTCACCCTACGGACCCGTCCTGCCCGACCCCGAGTCATTGGCTTTTCGTATTGCATATCTTTTAAGCGACATTCGTCTGTAATATTATTATTAATGTTACAGTTGATGCGGAAATGCAAACCGTCCGCCTGCAGTGAAGAAACCACTCACCGACACCGCCTGCACGTCTGCCGTCCATGCACAATGTAATAGTACCTATGTACATATATATATATATATATATATATATGCAATATAAAAGTGTCTGTTCGATCCATCGCCGCCGGAGGATAAGATCGCCAACCGGCCAACTACTCAGCGACCACTTCCGGGCGGCTGCTGATTGTGGAAGTGGTCGTCGTCGAGTATTGTGCGGGACGTGTTCAAGAAAACGACCGCGGATGACGATCGAGCGGAACACAATGGTGCGCCAAAGTACAAAATAATTCCAAAATAACTAAAAATTCACTAACACAACAGTTTCCTCGTCCTATCCACTCCCGACTCTGTTTTCGCACCACATAATATTATCATTATTATTATTATACTAATAAGTTACTATTTTCGTTTTTTACTTTCGACTTCACGACCGTTCTCTCATAATTATATTACCTACTATTTGAACTATTTTTATTATTACTATTATTATTATTATTATTATTTCTACCGATCCGTCCTGTGTGTACTTAAGCCGTTGTTTTTTTATATCTACTCTCGGAAACCTAGACTGACTGTTCTAATCCGCATACAATATGCGGCCCAACTTATACCTACTGCTAAACACTATATATTTATGTGTGTACGTATGTGTTACAATTGCGACACGACAATGTACCTCAATATCTGAGTTATGTGTTTTCTCGACACGTTCCGTTCATGCCATCTGTAACCGGGAGGTACATTTCTAAGATGATAATTAACACCTGTTAGATGTGCCCCCCCTCGTCATATAATACGACTCTATATATATATATATATAATATATATATTCGGCTATCGGATGGCGTTTATTATTTTTACACACGCATAACATGTACATACTTTATGTCTTTATGTATATAGTTTTTAAACGGTTTATGGTATCTGATAATAATAATATCATGATCGAATCAACATTACCTTTAACAACATACAAAATATATTATATTTTTTTATCCTCGACAAACCACGCGCGCGCGGTGGGCGCTTTGTCGAATTCTTTTCTTTTTGCATTCGTTTATACCTACTGTAACGACGCCTTGTTTATTGTTTCAAATTATTATTGTTATTATTATTATTATTATCATAATTACGTGACAACGCACTCCGCGACATTGTAAACGTTATTAGGTAGGTAATTGTTATTGTATTAATCAAATATAACAATATCGTATACCTAATATGTCGATGTAAGTGTGACGTGTGTGTAATGACGACAAACAACGTTGAAACGTTCCACGTCGCTCTGTATCCCAACAACAATAATAATAATAGTAACAATGTGTCCTTTTCTGTATTATTTTATTTTTTTAATTGCTACTACGCGATATCGTATTAATTATGTCATTACTAGGTATTAAAATATTGTTTGTTTATAATGTATTTCACGTTTTATTTCGATCTCGTATATTCACATATTAAACTTAAGTCGATTCCATTCAACGGATTACCCCTACTGTGCAGTAATGCCAACGGTACAATAATTGTTATAGTTTGAGTATAATATATTCATTAGGTATATAATGTGCACTAAAATACTTTCTTCTTATATAGGTAATATTAAAAAATATGAAATCATTTCTTATGTTTAGGTACTTTTTAACACGTTTTATACTGTATGTACATCTTATATGTTATATATATATATATATTTATATTATATTTGAATATTTGAATGTAACTCAAAGGTATATTTAATTTTTTCCAATTTTTAATCTGTGATTTTTTCTCTAGTTATTTTTATTTATTTATTAATGTATTACTATTTATTTATTTTATTATTATGTATTATTATGTATTATTATTATAATTTTTGTCCGTCTAACTTATAACCATTATACGCATTAAGTCAAACACACCTATCGGTACACTCGTCGCGCACAGTATTAACGTTACCTACACAAATGACGGGTGTACCACACCAGTACCAAACTACTTTACTATCTAAACATCTTTAATCATAGCGAATAATATATCATATTATAAATTATAATGTAATGTCAACGCGACGACAGCACGCGTCGTTGTCTTGACAAAAGGGTTAATATAGTTAAATTATTTTATTTTTTAAATAAGTAATAACATGTAATAAAAACTATTGTTTATTAAAAAAAAATTACATATATATATATATATATCATTTACTTATTTTATTTAATTACAGTTTAATATAATATGACAATTTTCATTTTCTATAGCTCACATCGAATAATGATACAAAATAAAACCAAAAAACAATAAATCACACAAAAACGATACCTTTATTATAATATAAAGTTGACGTATCGATTAAACGATTTTACTGCAAAACATAATAACTAATAAGTAATTTAATATAATATATATTGCGTAAAATACAAAAACAACATAAACACGGATGTTTGTTAAACGCATAGTATATATAATAAAATATTAATAATAATAATATTGTCGGAAAACTAAGGAGAACAATTTGTTGAAACGGCGGCGCTCGGCAAAAAAACATTGAGCGACTCCGACCGTTTCTCTGTGTTAATCGGCCGAAATACGCTTTGGAATTGAACTGCAACTTTTTCAATAATCTCAATACCTATACACAGCATGATATTTCATTGGAACATTTCATATGAATACCCGCCCACGTTTACATACATGTTGACAAGCAGCGACTTAAACATTGGGGAAGGAGTCATGTTTTTAAATTGCAACTTCAATTTTCAATACCGTTTTTGAGCTAATGATGATTATTAATTAATAACTATTTTATTTACAGTTAATTTCGACCCGACGACTATGTGCAGGCTCTAATATCAAAATTTACCGAAATAATAATATATTTTTTTTTTTGATTTATTTAAAAATTGAACATCGAACAAATATTCACAACATCTATATGTGTATTATTTAATATTTTAATTATGTTAATATTATTATTCAATATATTTTGTCGTGCCTAATAATATAATTGTGTCCCGTCTGCATGGTCTAAACATAATTGCTGTTTTTTTTTAATTTTGTTGTGTTTATGTAGACAAAGGATTAATATTTTAATAAAAAAGTTAATAACAAGTATGGTACTTTTAAGTAATGAAAAAAAAAAAAAAAAAAAAACTTATAAATGAATAATTAATTAGTACAAATTCATAGTTAAAACTAAAAAAACTAATTTTATAGATTAATTAAAAAAGGCGTTAAATAAAAAAAAACAAAATTAATTCAAAGTTTTAAGTTGTAAATGTTTTTTTAAATAAATGGTTGAATGTTAATATTAGAACCATAGTCAATGGGCAAGTTAAAAAAAACTGACAAAATGGCATTTCCGAAAATATAGTTGAAAAATGAATATTTAAAGCAGTTGGTGCTACTGCAGTAAAATTAATAAAAATACAAGTTTTACTGCACAAGAGGGTTGCAAATTTCTGATGTTCCCCTATAAATGTGTGTTCTATAACTACCTAGTTTGTAGAAAAAACTCCCCTTTCAAATACGGCCAGGAAATTGGAGAGCGTTCTTTGATGATCGGTGAATAAGTTGAACAATATATTTATGTTCAAAAATCGACTTGGACAGGATACGATACATTATTCGCCGAGTCGCCGCTTATAATATAATAATCACATAATAATAATATAATATTTATCTTTCGTTTATATAATAATAAAATACAACCTACGTCGTCCTATACCGCAGACTTGACCTGTATAATGGGTAGGTAGACGATTAAACCTATACAACATAGTATCATATATAATACTAATTACTAATAATCTCAGAGGTCGTTAAAAAAGTGGTAACAATGTTGATTGGATTTATTTTTAATAAATAACGCTTTCCACTTGAATCCATCGGTTACTTAACAAAATAAACTAAGTGGGCGGTACTCGATAAATTCCAAAAAATCTGTAGCGATACGAACCGGTCAGCTATACCGGACTTGTCCGATTTTACGCATCAACATTATAGGTGAATAGATAATGATTAATAGACAACGGCGGTCCTGCCCTGCAGAAAACGGTTTTCCGACGGCACTCAGTAAATTGTTCACCTGACATAATAATATGGGTAAATCTTGTGCACTTGTGCGATAAGAGCCATCGCGGTAACGGATTGGCAGAGTTACCTGTGTGGTAAAATGTAGGTAATTGGATGTTTGGACAACAGCAGAAGCTCGAGGAAAACCGTTTTCACAGTCAGCACGACAACGTTAATACCATCATAATTATGCGTAGGTACCTATAATCATATCGATCAAATTGTTATTAGGTACTATACGTGAAAAATGTGCGCGCGTGATCGTAAAAATAATAATAATAATATTAACGATACAGTATCAACAAAATGGCGTACATAAAGAAATATAGATTGTAAATAATATAAGTATTATGGTGTGTTGGTGGAAACGCGGTTGGGGAGAAAAAAATGTACAAATAAAATAATAATATAGTTTATAAGATAATATAATAGTTATTGTTGTCGTCGTCTTGGTCGGTTATTTTTTGGTCACGAGCTCTTCCTCTTCGTCCGAACAGTCTTCGTCGTGTGTGTGCGTCACTGACGACGGCACTTGGGTGCTGAACGTGGTTGTGCCCTGCAGCATCTGAGTCTGTGATCGGGAAAACACGAATCTTCAATAAAAAACAATAATAATAATCACATCGAAGTGTGACGCGGGAGGAAGGGGAGTGGCGCCCTGCTATTCGATCCCACCAAAACAAAAAACATTTTGTCCCCGAAAAAACGGTCACGTATAGTGCGTAAATTGCGGCATGAGGACTTTTGAAACGTATACGTAAATTGCGCTCCGGTCGCCAGGACATTACAAAAAACACGCACAGCGATACACCGATACATTTTCTGTTAGAATTAAAGTCAGGGAACAAAAAGTAGAAAAATGATGGAAAGAGACACATGAATTGTATACAAGAAAAAATGATAGAATGGAAAACAAAAAAAATTATCCGCTATGACTTTCAAGAATCATCGTCATACATTCATACAAATGTTTACCAGTTACTTAATTACTAATTTTAGATTCTGAGCATAACAAATTATTGTATAGTATTTACAATGATGTGTCTTTTTTTTATGTTAAACATCTAATGCAGCGGGTGAGACCTGCCGTGGGGTTTCAGAATCAGGAAAAAAAGATATTTTTTTACGCAAAAAACCAACTTTGTTCTTTTGGTTTAACTCAAAAACTAATAACCGACACTTGAAATTTTCAAAAAATATTTATATTAGTATTTTCCTAAGATGACCATCTATAACTATGAAAAATTGACCTAATTTTATAAATTATTCATCAGTCAGAATTTCGTTAGTTTTTTTTTTCATAGCTAACATTAGAAATTTTAATAGACGATTCCCAACAAGTTATTCTATTTTTATCAAAAAAAAAGTTCATCGGAAAGTTACGCTATTCTTAAAGCCATGAGGAATTTTGAATACCAATGAGTACATTTTTTAATCATAAGCAGCATAAACGTAAAGGCAGAAATTTGATTGAATTTTAGCGTTTTAGGGCTTAAACTTTTCTTTGCGAACAAGAAGTGGAGACTTTGAAAATGTCTCATAGTTTTGAGGAGTTAAGCGCGCCCCCCCCCCCCACCTAAAAAATGTATTCCTATACATAACTCAATTTACGTGGATATGTATAAAATATAGCCGGACTACAAATTACACAAAAAATTTAAAATGAACCTCAAAAAAAAGTGACCCGGCGGAATTGAAGGGTTTTGAATGCTAGATTTTTAAGGGGTTTTAGGAGTGTTCAGGATAATTCGGGTTGAAAGCCCTGCCACGCAGTTACGCTAGTCGCTAGTGATAGGGAAAGGTGGGAAAACCCCGTAAAAGATTCCAAACTCGCCTCGTCTACAGTCGTAGTCGCAGCGACGTTTTTATTGGCGTTTAGAACCGTTTCGCTAACAGACTTCAACGTCGCTGCCGCCGCTGCTGCCGCCGCGGTCGCCGCGTTGTCTTCTTTGCTCAGTCTCTGTTCGTGTTCGTGTGCCACAGTGGACTCGTGAGGCATCTGCAAGCACACCAGAAAAACATAAATTGAGGGCGTAAGACAATTTTCATATTAGCACGAAAATATTCCTATATATGAAAATATAGACTTATAGTGCAGGTAATAATAATTGTTAAAAATGATTAAATTTTCCAAATATGCATTTTTATAAAATATAATAAAATATGTAAATACAAAATTCAAACTTGTTTGTATTTAATTTCACGATTTCACAAATTAAATGTATATCTTACCTCGAATATACTACAAAAATCACAAAAAACATTCAAATTCAATACAAGTCCCGAACCTTACTAATAAATAATAAGCAATTTTTATTTAGATACTTCTAAAATACTTTATTTACAGACAACGAAATTGAAATAATATTATCAGACTATTTGTATTATAATAACCCATCTGTTTATTAAACTATTATAAATCTAATAAATAATAATAATGTTATCAACGTGTTAATAAATATTTATATTTAATAATAATATTTACAACTTATATTTAATGTTTATAATATTAGGTAACGTTATATTATATTATCTTTTATTGAACGAATATAATTGTTTTTATTTAAAATTGTTTACCTATACTCAATTCAGGCGCATTTCTTGTTCTCTATAATGGAGAGATAATATCAGCGTTCTAATTATGCACAGATGCAATGCACAAAATGTGAGACGAGAGCACGACCGTTATAGAAATGGCTATCATAATTGATTATGCAATATTATATTGTATTATTATTTAATTTAATATTATATTATTCTTGTTATTATTATTTTAAGCTTCACCATTGGCTTACCATCTATACTGTAACACACGTGGGTACGACCTATCCAAATAAAATTCTTTAAAATGACAATACCAACAAGGAAGACCATTTTTTGGTGGAAAATTATTTAATATTTCCTCCTTCCCTTTAGTAAGTTATACCAGAAAAGTTAATAAATATACTATACACATTTGTATGATTCATGTTATTAGAGAAATCGTTAAGAAAATTGGAAGCTTTAGAATAATATCGATTTTTTTTTCATTTTCATCAATTAATTAAAGTAAAAATCAAGCCTCTTTTCTGGAGCCAATGTTGCCATACAGTTGTAAAACTTTTGGAAAACACTGGTTTGCTTTTAAGAAGGGGACTGATTTATGAATTAACACCAGCTTTCCGGTATTATAATTTTAAAGTATTCGCTTAAATATGGACGCCTCCCTCTTCAGCCAGTGTCACTTTTTGGCCAGTACAGTTTCCTTTAAAATGCATAATTATAACAATAAACAACTGAACTCAACAATTTTTGTATATTATTAAATATGACCGTATTCAAAAATGCGATTTATTTATAAAACTATCACCTACAGCTGTGTATTAATAATTTTTTAATAATAAAATAAAATAGTTGACGGTAAAATGTTATAATGTATTATATATTACATTAGTCGAATCAAAATTGATTTTTGTTTGAGACAAATTTTACCATTTTCAGTCTTCACTCTTAAAAAAATCTTAATTTTCGACTTATTCGTGAATGCATATTTTAATAATTGTACCATCATAATTATTATTATATAGGTATTAATATAAGTCCATATTAATTTGTATAATGATATAACATTTTATTGTAAATTATTTTTTTCCACACAGTTGTAAGCAATAATTTGTACAAAAAAACATATTTTTGGGTACAATTATATATAATCAAATATAAAATTATCAAGTTCAGTTTTAATAATTATACATTTGAAAGAAAAATCTACTGTTCGAAAAGGGAAGGGTACACTTTGGCCGAAAACGGTGACACCTAATAAATACAAGTATGTAGTTAAAATAGGCACATATTATATAGTTCACATATATTATGTGACTATCGGCACCCTAACACTATAAAACACATCTATTTATTATTGCATTGGCTATTATTGTACAGTACAGAGTGTACATTATTGTACAGCGATGAAGACGATTATTTTTCATTCAATAATTATTAAATCGTTTTGAACCATGGAAAATATATCTTATTAAATAAATATTTCGATTATTTTGACCGCCTATATGTATACTTATCATTTATTTTCAAATAACATTAAATTATAAAAAAATTAATTCAATCTGAATTTATACTTCTGTATTGGCAATTTTGAGTAATTTGTTATTTTTTAATCGGTTGAAACCAAGAGAAAATGCGCAGCACTATAAATAGGTGAGCAGGTCATAACTACCACCTACACAAATGTATTGTTTTACTTTAAACATTCCAATCAGCTGATTTATTATTTTGTAACGATTTCAGATATTTGTATTCATTATATTATTATAAATACGTTATCTGAAATTCTGAACTGCACAAATTAAAACGTAATACATAATAATATGCGGTATAAGTACCTACGCATATATTACTATAGCTGTTATTTTTACTGGTCTTATACCTTTAATGATTTTTCTCTTTATTTGAGTTTTAAATAATAATGAACTTATAGCGGTTATTTAATTCATGCGTAATATAAAAGATAACCTATTCGATTAATCAACAATTAGGGTTAGGCAGGTAGTTAATTTTCAAAATCACATAGTACAAAACGATTTACTTTTTATTAATTCAAAAATATTAACATCACAAAACCATATTTTTCTATTTATTTAAACTCCAATCAATATTGTAATTATTCTTTAAAGTTCATTATTAAGTCCTCGACCACAATTAAACGTTTGCAGCGACTTAGTGAACGGCACACAGTGCCTCCACATTTCAATACGCTATACAAAGCAATGACCACCCGGCTTTTAGTGACGAATCCTCGCCCCACATAAACGTGTTCCCCAACAAACCGTAACTCCCCAACAACATTCTATTAGGCTATAGGTGAAAATGCTTAGTTTAATAAATAATAAAAATATTTAATAAGCTATTATTTATATCACGGTTAAAATTGTTTAATAATTTATTCCTGACTATATAGTATATACATTACTATAGTATAATATACAGGAAGTAATACTAATGGCCCGATTCACGTATATGAAGAGGAGACGGCATTGGCCATAAACTATTAAGCTTACTGGCTTACTTATACTATGGTAGTAACACAGTTAACGTGGTAACCGTAACAATAAAATACACGACCAGAAGTCGCTAAACATCCTATTACAGAGATGGTGAACCTATGACACTCGTGACACTCTGTGCCACGCGCATACTATTTTAGTGACTCACACGAATGTGTAAAAGTTTGATAATATGAAAGGTTTTTGAAAAAAAATTGAAGGGTTATCGAACTATTTGACACGCAGGGAGAACAAAATCCAACAAAAATTTTTATTTGACAAACTGGTACAAAAAGGTTCGCCATCCCCGTCCTATTACAATTTATTTTCTCGACACTTCCGACTTCAGGGACGGCTCTAGGTAGGGGGATAGGGGTCACGGCCCTCTCCCAAGCCGGTATTTCTAAAAAATTATGTATTGTTGAAAGCAAAATTACAAAAAAAAACCTACTATAATGTCCAAAGTTTTATGAAAATTATGACAGAAGTCCGCTTTGGGGAGGCAACTATATGTCTCTGGAATCGACACTGTCCTACTTTATGCCCATCCTTTGGCCTGATATCCCTTTCTATGTCTCTCTGTGCATTTCGTTTTAATCGGTGTTTTTACATATGGAATTCGTAAGTAAAATAATAACTGACCTTTGCACTATATAAAGGTATTGGGTGAATTTATAAATGGTTCATGACGAATTAAGACTTTCAAATAGCCAAGGTAATGCTGAAGTGTAAACGAGGATGCCAAAACAATGCAATGTTTTGTACCACCATTCAAATCTGGTAGAAATCTTATTAACTTTCTAAAAACAAAATTTCAAAATTAAAACCTAGGAACTAAAAATAAGACAGCCGGGGTATGTCAATCCTATCTAACGACAAATAAAACGGTGGAGAAATATAATAAAAAATATGTAAATAAAGATAGAAAATATATTAAAGTGTATGAAGACTTAATTGGCTAAAATGAAACAGAATCAAAAGAAACCAATCCGCCAAAATAGACAGAAATTGATCAAGAATCTAAATTCACATCAACAAAAATAGTGGAAATGTCTGAAGAAACAAATGCAATATTGAGGTGTCCGTTAAAGTTAAATTTGAAACGTAGATAGAGCATTCAATTAATGACTTAAGTAAAAGTTTTATTTGCAAACACAATTTACTGTGCATTTGTAACAAAGTGTATTTTTTAGCTAGTATTGTAGGTTATTGACTATAATTGTTATATTTTCGTTCACAAAACAATATAGAAAAGTATAGTCATCATACTATGATATAATATAAAATTAATGCTGAATAACATACAATTTTTGTTTCATAATAATTACACACAGTACACAATAAAGGTAGTGTCCATTTCATGAAATGAATGTCCATAAAAAGTATTTTCGTCAAAATTCATAATCTGAACGAATTTTACTTTATGGATACCCAGTTCATAAAATGAATAATTTCAATATATATTATTACAGTTCATACCTACTTCAGACATATTGTTGTTACTTTCATCATTATAGGAAGCAATACTTTGTAGCCATTATATAATACTTCTAAAACGCATATTAATGATCATGTAATAAAATTAAGTAATTTTTATACTATTGATTATCATACATTTATCATTTTTAAGATACTATATTAATATAATGCCTATTAGAGTAATTATTTGTATGAAAATAAATTAATCTAATCACGTACGATATATAATATTATAATTGTGACGAATCATAATTGAAATAAGTAGATTTTATAATGTATCATTGTATACTGATGAGTGATGAACAGTAAAAAATAGAACGCTTTTTTATAGACCTACAAAAATTAATATTTAGAAATAAAATGATAGGTATCTATAATAATAAAAAAAATACAATTTTTACTTCAATATATTAGTGGAAACACCATTTCATTTTCATTTAAGTAGGGGAATTTATAATTCCCGGATCTATAAAATCAAATTTATTAATATTTTGATGTCTGGAACACTTATGTCATCTAAAATATTATAACAATTACCATTATATATATAATTGTATACAGTTTATAATGCAAAAAACTGATTTGTTATTTATATGAATAAAAAAAAAATTAATAAATGTACTCATAATTATAAAAAGTAACTTCAAAATATCCATAGAAAATATTTTGTAACTTTCGGTAGGTACTTATAAAAGTGTGAAATAATATTATTTACTAAACTTAATGACATTTTAAAATATTAAGATTAACTGTATGCAATTTATGTACCACGAAGTTTCGAACCTATTCACACCGCTCTACGGTACATCGGTATTGACTTTATTTTGTTTTTTTTAATTCTTTTAATGTATAACTACGTGGTTAATAGCCGAAGTAACATTTTTTTTTTACATTGTAAATAATAGGTAAGGTTTTGAATTTTATAAGTAAATAAAAGCTAGTAATATTAAAATAATTATTAAAAAATATAATATGCAATTTGTTTTCGGTTAAAATTAGTATCCCTACCATATTTCTAACAGAAAAATAATCTGCTAATAATACCAATATAAATATATAATTTCTACTCTAAAAATAATTGTCTATCATATACAATGATTCAAATTACTAACAAATCTATTACTATAGAGAGTTACTCAATGATGAGGTTCACTCGTCACTCACTAAATAATGTAACTATAGTAACATAATAATAATAAAAACTACATACTCCAGTTTTCTTTTTCTTTAACTTGTACATATATGACATCATAAAACACACATATGTCAAATAAATTATAAAATCAAAATCTATTATAAAATACTATTAGCCCATTAACTTTGAACCTTAATAACAATTCTGCTCTACTCATTATTATATTAATGGGATGGAATTTGAAGATGTCGTCTATAGAAACAATAGTAACTATAACTGCACGTCTTGCAGTAGTATAGTTATGGTTTAGATAATTTCACGTGATTATTATGAATACGTTTATATATATATTCAATCAACAAAGATTTACTTAAATATTAATTGGGCACTAGAAAAATTAATCTACATGGTTTTAAAGTATAATAATATGATAATTGTAGTTCAACGGATGAAATGATTAGTTGGTATTTATTAATTAAATGCTCGATAAGTATAGATATATGTTTATAAAAAGTCAGATAATATTTCCTATTTTCAAGATTATAAGTCATTTGTATTTTATATTGAGTGTAATCGTCTAGTACTCTATTTCATCACATACCAAAAAAAAATATTTATTCGTCTACATGCGACTACATCACGTATGCATAAAATGTTTTGGTTGATATATCTAAAAGTTTATAATAGTCTTCTGCATATTTTTTACAAGGTTTTATGCCCGAATAGTGTATTATAGTATAAAATATGATAGCGGGTTACGTGCGGTTATCAAAAAATATTAATCGATAAAATTCAAGTATACTTTAAAAAAAAATGTCGAACATAAATAGGCAAAAACGACGAAAATTCAAATAGAAACATAGTCTTAAGTATAGATACTTAATGTTAAATATATAGCACACTATAATATATATATTATAATATAGTTTAAAAAAAACGATTTTACATACCAGCATAGCCGGTGCTCGGAACATATAGGAAAATGGATAGTAGATTAGATTTAAAAACGTCGCTGCATACAAGTCTGCATACCGCGTGACCTGAGACGAGAAGAAGGTTTGCCTGGACCCCGACCGAAAGAGACTACCCATCATTCCGTATGATAAATCCATTTTGTGGGTAACGTCACGCATCGCCATTCTCAGTTTTGAAATGTCTGGTTTTTCGTTGGTACTGCTATCTAAATTCCTATGATCGAAAACGAAAAGAAAAAAATCCACACGTTATGAAGTGATGTTAAACTATATTATTCTACACTTATACGCCTTATAATTATGAAATATATTAGTATTATGTAAGTACAAGAGGATTTATGTACATCGTCAACATGTTATATTATGTCTGATTCAGGAATTTTACAATTTTTTTTTTACATCAAAATAAAACCTAACGAAAAGTATATGCAGGAATAATTTTAAAAAACATGCGAGGATTTTAATAAATTGGTTTAGAATTGATTCTTAAATAATTTTACAATATTTTTAAATTATAATATGTTTAAACTTTTTCAAATTTGATTTTAAAATTATTCACATATTGACGATCAACATTCAAAGCAATCAACACAGTCAACTCAACAGCGAAAAATATGCCTGCGATTTATTCATTAGGATCCGGGGATGTATCATTGCTCATAATCCCAACTCAATAACCATTCATTAATCAGTGGATTAACGGTTTGATTCATTAGAATTCAGACCTCCGTTTTGAGCAGTGACGCCCAACCTTTTTTCCTCGGCGGCGGGCCACTTAAGTAAACAATTTATCTTAGGTCTTCAATCTTAATCTAATGTTGTTACATACACAATAGGATACAATATACATGAAGGTACATTATGTTGGACTTGTATTCATATCTTTTATTGACTACTCACTATTGAAAAGATTACAAATTGAGGTACACATAACACTTTGTAGGTACGCATTAGATTTAGTTTGACCAGTACGCTCTTTGAAGTGCACTCGCGAGTGGTATTAAGTATTCAATTAAATTATAATTAAATAATAATTTTACTTATTTTTGAATATTTTGTTTTATTAAAAAAATTTGTGACGGGCCACATGTGGACCGCGGGCCGCGGGTTGGGCATCACAGGTTTTGAGCGATAACTTCATGGCGTCATATATTTTATTACCTAGTTATTATTAATATAATATTTTTGTAATTATACATTTTAATTAATTAATTTAATTAGTTTTGGTGCTGCGTTTTTTTTTAAACATTTAAATTAACCAATCAAATGTTCTAAAAATAATCTGTAAACTCAACGATAAAAATACCACGTTCTACACAATGTAAAATGCGACATTCTAATTATCAATATTATTAAACCGAGTAGTGTTATGGCAGACATGCCGTGTAATCCGTATGTTTCGTTGCACTCACTTGTACATGTTTCCAAGAGCTATATCGAAATTTTGTAGTTCTGCAAACAGCTGACATTTGTCTGTCCACACATGCAGCTCTTGGACCAACTCGGGGACGACTAAAAATGTTCTCCAACCACGTATCTTTTTTGACTTGAGAATGTCACCAAATATATGATCTCCCACGTACAAGACGTCTTTTCCCTTAGCGCCGATGAGCTTGGTGAAAATGTCGCAAGAGCCTTTCCGTCGAACAAGACATAATACAATATAAATAATTAAAATAATTATACCATATACCGATTATTATTTGTAAGTAATGCATATCAGTAGAAATTACCTCCCGAATAAACTTGGCCTTTTAGCAGAGGCCCAATGTGCGTGCCCATTTTAAGAGCTCCGGTTTTGGTGTCCACTTGTCGCAGGATTGTGCCTTCGCTGAAAAACAACGGTTTCCTGGCATCTACCACCACTATATCAAAATAGGACTGCCAGTCTCTATGTGGCTCACTAGGCTACATACGATTGAAAAATATTGTTGTTCTTTAATATTTAAGTTTCTGAATTACATCGTCGACGAACGACTATGGTTACTACGAGTCGAACAACTTACCGAAGCACCGTGCGGGTAATCGAACAAATACGTCATAATCATGTTGGTAAACCAGTAATCACTATTGGTTAATAGAAACACCTTGGCGCCACTTTGCCGAATCCTGGCCAAGAACATGGGCAGCCTCGCGTCTTTGTTGACGTAATCGGATAAGTTTTGGATAGTTCTCTCTTTCAAATCACCCTGTTAAAACCGTATACGACGAAATAATCAAAATACACTTTTGAATCTATTTTAGTGGGTGTAGCATCTACTATTCTAAGGTGATATATAACCTAATACAATTGAACAATTGGACGTTGAGCGCCAAAAAAAATTTTTGTATTTTCATAAATTATATTGCAGTGTCTTTAAAAAAATTGCATTGTATTAAACTTTTAACAATTGGTTGTAGAATATATGAAAGTCATATTTTAACTTGCAAGGTAGGTTTTATGATAAAAGTAACTTGTAAGTGATGAGGTACGTTAACCTAGGCTCTGGGGATCCAATATATTTCTAACAGACAGCAGACTAGTTAAAAACATAATTTTCAGTTTTAATAGATAGAAAAACATAGATCTGGCAATCGAATCGCTGTCAGAACATTTGCCAGATGATTATTGCCCATTATAATAGATTCGTTTGAAGATAATTAATACGTGTGAAAGGTTAACAGAATAGAAGGTGACGTCAAGTTGCGTTATTTCCTCCCGATATTGATGGTTTGAAACCAGTTCTATTTAAAATAGAAAAATCGCACAAATAACTATATGCACAATTCAATAGGAGACTGAATACATAGAAACTTATGAGGAGCGTGATTTATATTATAATCACAGGGAAGCTGGAAATAATCTGCCTACAAAATTAAACAAGTAAGTACTTTGATGTAAATAAGAAAATTTTTTAAATGTTCAAGATATTTCGTTACATTAAATCAAATTAATTTTTAGTTAATTATATTTGGTTTCTATAAATTAAAATTATAATTATTTATAATTGTACAGCTCAGATTATTTATATTATTTATTACGTTTTTAAAAAATTTAAATTATATTTTATCATTGTATTTAAAATGATAATATTAATGTATTTATTATTATATATATATTATATACCTAATAAAGTATTTGATTGGTATACAACCTAAAATTATATTTTCATACAGCTCAAATTATTTATATTTATTATGCTATTTTTGAAGTCCAAGTGCAATCTAAAAGGTCGGATCCAATTGTCCATTTGCATACACATGTGACATACACGCATTCACCTCCTATTTATATCTAATAAATAGCTCAATGGGAACGGTTAGGTTTACTCTCAGTTCAAGGTTGATCCGATACGTTTTGGAAGTACCGGCTAAGACCATCACCTAATAATATATTATATATTATATCATATTATATATTGTGTTTTTTATCAGGCGTGGAAAAATAATCCACTAATACTTGGGGTTAAGTGTAATACTATAATAGAATGATTATAATATGTGCGTATATATTACATGTATGTGCATCCAGTCTACGGCGTTTCTCACGTCTTGGAATATAGAGTTGAACGACATTAGTAAATCGCCACTGCGTACTCCGGTTTTTTCCCTGTGCAGCACAAACAAAATAATATTATAATCATTACTACTTTTCGTAAAATATATTTTAAAGTCAAAAACAGCCCCATTTGGAGTGGTCGAGTGAATATTTTTAACGAATCAACTTATGACGGATAATATTATTATACCAATATATAACATGTATGTAAAAGCAGTGGCACCCAATATGAATTGTGTGTGTGGTAAATAAGTACTAAAAAAACTAAGAACCTGATAGTACGTGTTGTGGGATCATGACGATCCTGTCCAATTTAAACATATCGATAGGTACTATATAGTATCAAATAAACGGCAAGTGCGCATAAGTGTAGTTTTATTTATTTTTTCATGTAAAGCAAGGTGATTCCTTAAGGAATTACTTTTTTTACATAGTTTTAAGTTATTACAACCAAGATTTTATTTACCAATACAATTTTAGGCAATACCAGTAGAAGAATAATTGTAGGGACTGAACATGTTCACCAAATATTTTTAATAGCACTATTTAGACATAATATGATTTTCAAAAAATATTTCGGCTCTTTTAGAGCTATTTATAGACATTTAAATTTTCAACCATCAATTTTAGATTCTGAGCGGAGTGATGAATGCATTGATTTCACAATGATATGTGTTTTTATATTTAGTTATTTATTATTTTTTTTTTTTTTTGTGTGTATTATCACGGTTTCTTGCAGTGAAAGTGGTTCGATTTTCTTCAATAACAAATTTTCTGATAGGAAAGTGAGTAAAGTTTATGCATGCGGGAGATCAAAATTCAAAATTCTCAATAGTTTTCAAAAGCAACAAGAAAAACAAACAAAAAATTAAGGAAAACGGGAATTTTTAAGCGAAACTATTTTTCGCAAAAATCGTTTTTAATTATTCGTGTAACTCTAACAAAAATGACCGTAGATACATGCGATTTCACTGAATATTTGTGTAATCATTTTCTATACACCATTCAAAATATTTTGACTTATGTTGAACTAAGTAGAGACAAATTAAATTTTCGATTATTTTATTAAGTATATGTTATTCTTTTTAAACCCGAGTAGATAAAAAAATTTTCGCTCTGTCAAAAAACTTGAAAATGTAATACAACGTTCCTTGTAAGCTGTTGTTAATGGAAATTAAAAATAAGTTAAGCGTAAATCCACAATCATTTTTTATGAACGTTTAAACTTAAAATTTTGACAAAATTCGTAAAAATCACGAAAATTAGCAAATTATATTTAATTAGAAATTCATACAATTTTTTTATTTATATCTAAGATTTAATAATTTAATACAAGATTCCTTACAAGTTTGTCTACCTTTATCAAAAAAAAATATCTACCGGAAAATCAAATTAAATTTTTATGGGCGTTTGAAGTTGACATTTTTACAACATTGGATATTCACTCGATTTCTTTCGTAGCGATTTTCTTATTTTGTTGTAATTCAAAAACGAATTACTGTAGGCACTTGAAATTTACACCGAATGTTAGGTAGGTTTTTTTTTAGGTTAATTTATATACTTGATAAGATTTTCAAAATATTCTGACTCGTTTTAGGCTGTTGACAGACATTTCTATTTTTTTTTTTCATTTTTTTTTTTTCAATAAATATCAATAACAATTTTTTGATTGGGTCAAAAAGTACGACAATTGAGTGCAAGAATCTTGATAACTTGTTATAACATCAGTTAAAAAATATTAAAAATACATAAGCACGATTTTTTTTAAAAGTATTTAAAGTTCAAATTTTGACAATATTTATCAAGTTGAAAATTGAAAATGATTTTGTTGTTAAAAATCTATACAATTTTCAATTTTTATAGGTAAGGATTGATAATTTAAAACAACGTTCCATTCAAGCATCATTTTTTTTCCATAACTAAGAAGTCTAAAAAATATATAAATACAATTATTTTTTACAGACATTTTAAGTTCAAATTTGGACAAAATTGTATATTAACACAAAGAATAACGTTTATCATTTTTTTGTAATTCGGTTCCAAAACAGCCCAGTTTTACATAGATATATTTAATATTTTTCCAGAATCACTGATAATTTAATAATAATATTAATTCAACTTAGCGGTTACCGTTATACCCTAATATGTATATATATATTATATATTATAATAGTAAATAATATACATCAAATATTTTATGTACGTAAACAAGTAATATGAGCGGCATATAACAAACCTTGAGTAATTTGGCGAAGTGGTAAAATAATTTATCAGACAGGCCAGCAAATACGTTTCTGGCAAATTGAACAGCGTATTGAGCACGTAGACGCGGGACTCGTCAAGGAGCAGGAATTTGTTGGGATACAACTCGTACACCTGAGAACTGATTGTAAAAAAACACATGTATTATAATATATAATATATAATATAAAGCGTTTAGGACATATAATTTCATAAAACTCATGTAGGCGGATGTTACTTGTGTAAGTATCACACTATAACAGAATAAGCCTACAATACACATAATATGTAGCAGGTAATTCTTTAACAGTCAACGCTCATTTTTTGAAAAGCATAACATTTTTCGAAAATATATTGTGCATAATTTGAAGTTATTTATCATTGCAAAACATTTTCGAAATAAAATCATATTTTTTAAGTTTTCCCTTAACAACATACAGTGTTAATTACTGGAAAGCAGAATATTTGCTCCTGAGCACCCTGTATATAATATTACTCACTGTTTTAAAAACTCGAAACCTTGTACACAGACAAGTATGTTACCATAGGAATCCACTTTGAGCAGAGTGCCGTACAATGAATCGAACCACAAGCCCCTGGAAAAATAAATGTTTTGAGATGCTATGAAATAAATAAATACCTTAATAAAATAAACATATTATACTCTTCTAATCTGCCTTTTGCCTGTATACACTTTTAAAACTACTTAACGATTGGAAAATAATATTATACTTAATGGAGATTTATAGTTCTACTTTAAAATATGTGCTTTTACGTCATAAATCGATGTAAATAAGTAAATAAATATAAACATATAAACCTCAAATTCAATTATAAGTAAGATTTTTTAGTAACACAGAAACAATCATTTATACTTTTTATTTTTAAAATATTTTTATTACTTATTATGTAAAAAATGTAAAAAATTATAAATGGACTAATTTAATATTATAGATTGGAAATGTAGTACACAACTTTAGAACTCTTAATAAATATACAAATAGATGAACCACCTTAGTGCTCAACCTGCAGCATCAACTTAACAGTTAAGCACTTAATAACTGAGTGCCATAAATATGAAGAAGACGTCAAAAAACTCAACATCATTTTCACTTCATGTGGTCACATCGGTGTCAATATTTTACAACTTATTTAAAATTAAAGTTTTATAATTCACTACCTAATATCCGAGATACAAAATAAAATAGATCGAGAACTAGGTTGGCTCGTGAAGTTGGCCACGTACCTATTAATTTTTTTATTACAGTATAAAATATACAGGGTTTCAACTAATTGCAAATTAGTAGGAAAATATTGACACCAGTTTTGAGCCGATGTGACCACCTTTCCCCCGAGCTAACCACCATATGAGCTACCAGTTATTTGTGGCAAAAATATTAAGTTACATATTATTATGCAACTATATAGTTGCATATATAGTTGAACATAAGTTAAAAAATATAGGTACCAATCTAGAGTTAAGACAACTTGAGCACATTAGCACTAAGGGACATCGTGAAGTTGGACATAAATTTAAAAGAACATTAAATGCGACAAAAATATAAGGTTACAAATTATAAAAATGTTATTGCAAAAAATGGACTCTGATTTGGAATTGACTCGATAACTTGGAGAGGCGGGCAACTTCACTGATGTAAGTTTTCAGTTCTCACAATGTTATTTCATAAATTTAGGTGCTTAAATTATAACTTTAGATTAAATTTCTTCGAGTCATAATATTAAACAAGTGTTTCACAAATTTTAGTGAATCATTCAATGAATACATTTTTTATACAACCGTCATAAGTGAAAAATAGGTCAATAATATAATATACTACTATACTACTGTAACTTAAAGTTCGTTGCGTGTTAAAGACTTTCGACGTATTCTAAACTTTTGTTAAAATGTTGGACCTTTGGATTTATATGGTCGAAGTCTTAATACCTAATTTATATTGATTCGTGTAACTATGTGACTATGAGACATAATATACTAATTGCGTATAGAAACAGTAGAATCAGTTGCATCGCGTGAAACTTTGTGGACTTAGAGAGAAGGAAGGCCCCTTAAACACAAAAATTAAATGATTGAATAGTGATCTAATAATCTAATCTAGTAGTAGAATCTATAAAAAAAAAATAATAATGATAACAATTGATTTATTAATTATTATGCTTATAATTATAAATGTATTTATAACAAAAACATTGTAAGAACCTATACTTAAAATTAACTTTTCGAACCTTCGTTTGATTTTAAAAAACATAAGCTTCTCAGCTTTCTTTTATGTCATAATGAAAGTACTGTGGTTCCCCAACTTAGACATACTTGGAGGCTTAATACACAGCTGAGTGAAATCTTATTTGAATGTGACCAATTTGAACAACTAATTGGAAACTATTTTAAACTATATATTTTGTATTATTGCATGAATAATTTAAAACGTTTTATCGATAAACAATTTAGAAATAACGTTGTACCTAATCCATACAAATCAATTAATTATCAAAATCGTAAAACAATGTTCATTCGGAAATTTTACCATCATACAATTACAACAGTACCTATTGAATTATTGTTACAGCATTAAGTCGAGTGCGTAAACTATAGGTATAGATATGATTCAAGTACTTATCACCTACGAAAAATGCAAAGACAACTTATGCGGACTTATTGTGCATGTTAAGTTTCAAAGTCATTCTTCGCGGAAGGAAAGTTTGTCAAGTGATGATTTCGAAAATCACATCGTTCTCAAAAACCTGAATATTATATGCCTAAACTTGAAAGGAACCGCAACGGCCATACAAGTATATTACACCATATACGCTTATAATAAATAGCCAAATAGGTTATAGGTTATCCATGTAAGAAATGTACTTACCTCACCGGGAACATAGGATCGTACTCAAACTGCAATATTTGAGTAGGATATCCAAGCGATACGAGCCTTTCGACGGCCAGTGCGAATCCCAGTCTCTCGTAGGCCGGTGACTTGTACTCTGCCAACACAACGATGACAGCGGTAATGATAGTTTATAATAACATCTTACAAGTGATACAATTATATTTAGTAAAGACAATACATCCCGCACCCACCCCATCCCACCATAGATCCACATCAAGATCGACGCTTATGGTATAACAAAGCATATTACAGTATTAGTAATGTACAGGTACACCATTAAAATTATAGTATATTATATATTTTATATATTATGTATCCAGGCAATAAATGCCAATTACGGTCGCGTACCGGCCAACGTATAGTCCATGTCGAATCCATAGAATTTGATGTTCTCCAGGTGCAGACTCCTGTTGACGAAAATTCTGGAATGAAAACGATTAATTGTTTGCATTAATGCGAGTGGTCTATAAAACGGCCGCCGGCTGCAGTTTATCGATAGCCTAACTTTCCGTGAGGAGAGTGTGATAAATTATTAATTACACGATCAGTTGATTCGGGAGTTCGTCTAGCTGTATCGTATAGTGCCTACTATAGCGTATAATAATAATATAATACCTTAGCATAGGAACATGCGCGCCGAGCTGAAGAATGTTCGTTACGACGTTACAAGTTAATACGTTATAATAATAATATGTGAGACACATGCGCACAGAAGGGTTGATCAATATTATAGTGCGTAGATAACGATATTACAATTGACGATTTCACTAATCTCTAGCGGCTTTTATCGATCAAATTTTTTGTTATTTTGTTTATTATATTTTTCAAAACACACATAAAAACAGATAATATATTATTCAAATATTATATAGTTCGTACATATTAATATTAAAGTTATATTAATAAATAAAAATTACATGATAGCCAATAGGTACTTAACTATAATTATCAATAGTGCAACTATAATGCACCTATATTTATATATTATGTATTATACATAATAACATTACAGTATTCAACACATTTAAGTACAGACTGAATAGGCGCAAATAGAGGGGGGATTGAAGGGTTACCCCCCCCCCCAAACATTTCCTAAATGTTAGTTTAGGCTTATTCAATATTATAAAAATATTGCTTTAGACCCCCTCCCAAATCACAAACGCTATTTGCGCCTATGATTAGAATACAATGTATATGCCTAATATATTATATTCATTGTCGTAGTATGTGTTGTGGAGAGGGTGTCATCACTTACACTAAAATATTTTTTAGAACAATAATTTCAAAAACTGCAGACGATTGTTTAATCTAATAGCTAATAAATAATGTTGTTGATTAATAGCTGGTCAATTTAGTGTATATTTTATTTTTTTCAGTATATCCATTTTCTGATTATATTTTAACACGTTTTATAATTATTCATAGTTTAGAGTTTCAGACTTAAAGGTGTATAAGTTATATTTGTATACATATATATATATTATATTGTATTGTATGGGATCCTCAAACTGCTGATGCCTGTTATCAACTCGAACGTGTTCAGCGTAAATTCTTGTGCTATATGAAGCATAAATTGAATGTTAACTGCCCCCCTCGGCCCTCATGATTATACTCCTCTACTCCGTCTCATGAACTTATCTTCCTTAGCTGACCGTCGCCGCTCGCATGCTCTTGCTTTTCTTAATAAAATCTTATCGGGATCTGTTGACTCCCCTTCACTCCTTGCTCTAATTAACTTTAAAGTTCCTGTTAAGTGCACCCGCAACACACATACTTTTTTTATTCCGCATTGTCCTACAAATTATTTACAAAACGAGCCAATAAACCGTATGTTGAAATTAGCCAATGAGGACCCGTCATTTCTTCCATAGTATTATACTATTATCTTTTATTTTGTTTTTAAATAACTCATGAAAGCTGTACCAATGTACCACACTTAAAATTAGTATGTAATTTTTGTCAACATTACACCATACATATCTGTATCATGGGCTCACGCCCGTTTATAATTAATAAATAAATAAATAAATATATTATATATATATATTATGTTTATTATTAATTAATATTTTAGATGTGTAAGAATGTGAGATCCTACTATGTCTCCCACTATATTTTAAGTCAAAATTTACCATCGTTTGCTCCCTCCCAAAACAACGATCTAACTGGAATAACTCAATATTTTATTCTCGTAACAACAATATTATTATGCGAATAAGTTAGGGCTATTACCTATAATAGGTACTCATAAAATATGTGCTACACCTACATAATACATGGTGTCGTTATCATTTCGTTGTACAATAACGCTATTAAAAATCAATAATACAAATATAGGAATGTACCAATACGCATAAAATATTAATTATAAAGTTCCGTAACAGTATTATATAATCTCAGACCGTACAGTAATAACATCACGTTTCTACGACGTGACGCTGGAATAATCAATGTTGTAATGTAGCATATAGGCACACGCGATAATTTTCTTTTTCGTTGTAGTCGTAACTCGTAGAAAACTCCCAGGAACTATACATTATTACAGTCTACGTCTTTAGCGGTGGCGCTAAAGGTGCTTATAGTATAGCGCTCCACGACCCCGACCTATAACTAAAATCTACCCCCAAGGCCTCAAATCATACATAGTTTTCTTGTCCCATACATGATGCATAACATATATATTATAATAAAATGCACACCGTAATATACGATTTAAAACAAACCCGTTTCGGACGAAATAAAAATATCGAACAAATAATTATCATAATTATTATGAACACGAATAAACGATAATTAATAAAAATAATATATTTCTTCGATAATATTATACAATAAAATTGTCAATTATATTAAACAAGTCCTTGGGATTTATTGAGTCTTGACATTCTATAAACGTGATTTTAGACAGGACTCGACTATTTTTAGACTATCTATAGATATGTGTTGTTGTTTTTATTTGTTTTAATGAAGTGCGGAATTATTGTTTATTTGTAAATTTTAAATGAAAAAACATTTTAAATGGTGAAGTGATTATATAATCTCAACTAAACTCAAAAAGTAACGCAACTAGTTTATTTTTATTTGTTTACATATGAATTTGGATAAGATGACATTTATTCATTTCACAGCGGTTTTATTATATATGTAGGTTGTATGTGGCAAATTTTGGTCAAAAAGTACTCACTTACTAGGTATTAACATATATATTAATATATTTATTAATATACATTTGAGTTATACTGTATTTATTTCGGAAAAAACGAAATAATTTTTAAAAAAACTCCGTTTCTTCTTTTCTTTAAAACACTTCCCCCCTCACCACAATATACAACTCTACAACTGCCTCGGTCACACAATATGCGTTGGGTGCTTAAGTCGTACGTAATCATATACTTTATATACGTACATAATACAACAAATGTCATAGCTTTTAATTATAATGTTTTGTTTAGCGATTCGACTTATTACGCAATCTTTCGAATACGCGGATTCTTAACCTTGAGACTATAACAGGACCGTGGAGAAGGCGGTGTCAACATGTGCAAGGTGATTTATCGAGCATATTCTAATTGCTCGCCCACATTTTCGCCTTTAATAATACATTCATTCAAAATCTGATTTTTAGAGTTTTAAGTAACCAAAACTTAAAAAGCATATTTTCAAATAATTTCGGTTGTATGCCGTTTAAAAATTGTCCCGATGTCTCGATATAAACTTCTTTTTTATAACCTTTTTAACTGCAAATTAATAAACACATTATTTTAGATTTTGAGAGGGGCAATTTATGTTTTGATTTTACAATGATGTGTTTTTTGTGTGTGTGTCCGTCATCACCTTTGGTATGGTAAAAATGCTTCGATTTTCTACTCAAACATTTTTTCCGGTAGAAAAGTGAATTTATAGTTGGTACTTAGGGAGGTCAAAAGTAAAAAATTCCCAATAGTTTTCCTAAACGTCGAGAAAAACAAAAAGGATGAAAAAATACATGACATTTTCACCGAATGTTTATATTAGAATTTTGTATTTGCCATAAAATGTTAAAGAATGTTGACTCTTTTTGAGCTATTTATGAGCATGAGAAAATTTCGACTTTTATTAGTTTTTTTAAAATTATTTTCGATAAAAATTCTTCAAAAAATTTGTGTACATTTAGAAAAAAGTTGAGGGTAAAGCCATAATATTTTTTTATAAGAGTTTGAAGTAAGAATTTTGACAAAACTCGTCAAAACCACGAAAATTCAAAAAATTATTCGGAGTAAGAAATTCAAAAATTATTTTCTATCTATATCTAAGATTTGAAAATTCAATACAAGATTTCCCATAAGTTTTCCTGTCTTTACCAAAAAAAAAAGTAGTGGAAAATCAAATTTATTTTTTGCGACATTGGATTTTGGAAATTCACCCGTAAATTAACGAATTCTCATAGAACGATCTTCTGATTTTGATGTAATTAAAAAACGAATGAGAACGTAAATACTTGAAATTTTCACCATATGTTTATTGTATCATTTTTTAAACATAATAAAATGTTACAAATATTTTGACTCCCTTTGAGCTATTTATAGATACTTTCAATTTTATTTAGTTTTTTTCTATAAATGTTAAATTTGATGTAAGATTATTAGTAGGTATAAGGTTAATTATCTTTAGAGAACAAAGTTAAACAACTCAGATGCTACTTATTGTAGAATTTCGATGCATCCACATTTAAAAAAAAATTATATGCTTAATAATTCATAGCATAAAAAGAGTAATTCAAGTTTAAAAAAAATATGTTTGTACCACCACATTCTACTACATAAATGTTATGAAATACCTGGAAATATATTCCTTATGTACACTGCTTACATACAAATTTGAACTTAAAAAATGCATTATGCAAGGATAAAAAGGGAGCATTTTTAGTAAATGTTAACCTATTGTGGGGGGGGGGGTGAGGATCGTATATTATGCTAGTTCCGTTCTAATGAACTTTTTAAGTACAAGTTTTGTTCCAAGAAAAAAGTACACAGCAGATACCAAACTGATTCCATCCGTACTAGTGTACTTCATTTATATATAATATAATTTAAAGTACAATAAAATCTTAATTTCAAATATGTATTAAATTATAATGCAACTGCAGTTGTTTTTTTCAATTTTTTTCTTATATGAAAATGTTTATAAAACTCGTCATCGACAACTATTTTTAAAAATATATCAATACCGCCAGCTCTTAGTCTGTTTGACTATAGGAAGGAAGATATGGTCACCTAAACAATAAAAATACACAACTCTTAAAAAAATCGTCCAAATGGTGTGTATCAAAATTCGTTTACACGATTTACAGTTTTTAAGTCTATTCACCTTGAACTGACTTCGACCGCCTATATGATAATACATATTATAGGTTTCCCACGTTCGCGGGGTCTGGCACTCTTAG